AGTAAAGCCTAAATACTTCAAACGGATGAAACCTTTAGAAACCCCTAAAATATTCAAACGTATTACATTATCACCCTTAGAGACACCACCAAAATAGACCTCACTTTTTCTATGATTTGCAGCCAGAAGCCATAGAGATTTTCTTAAAGGCCTTGAATAAAAGCTGGATGCTAGTGAAAAGTGATAGATCATCTCCAAACATCATATGAGTTATATTTAAATTTTCACATCTACAAAGAAAGTTTAAGATAAGACTGATTAAACTCCTACATATACTTAGAAAGATATGCCCTACCAATAGCAAACAAATATCCTTTGGAAAGGAGAAGGAAAACCATCAATCAAAATGGAATAAGACACAAAAGTCACAAATCCTATGACCTAGCCAATTCACTTATTTGGAAAGCCAAGCTCACTAAGAACAATGGAGTTTTAAGTTTTTTTCAAAACCAATTTAAGCATGCATACGCATCTAGGAGTAAAAAGCTTATGAAAATAACCTTTGATCAACTCAGTTATAATAGAATATTATCACTATTTTGTTTCTCAGGGATGCTAACATCATTAATAACAATGTAACAATGGCAACAACATGAGAGAGCCTACCAGTACTCACCTTAGAAACAATTTTCAGCACAATAGTGCAACAAGCAATTGACCAATACTCCTTAACTTAAGAAGGGTGTTGAACTTTAGATACAAGAGTGAGAGTGGTGCAGTTCCATTGCCTAATCATCTTTCCAGTAGTCAAAGAATCTAAAACTACTACATAGATATAGATGCTTCTTTGATCACAGGACAAGCCTAAAGAAATCAATAGCAGGGAGCTTTATCATCTACCCCAAGTTGCTTCTCTCTTCTCATAGTTACCAAGTCTATTGCAAGGATAGAGCTAACCGCGAAGAGTTTTATAGAACCCCATAATCTCCTTTTACTTACCTGGCTAGGCTCTTACATTTCTAGTGAAAATAGAATCAATTTAATTCTTGCTTTGCCTTTGCTTCATGATTGAATTATATTAATGAGAGTTAGAATCCCCAATCAAATTCAATTAACTCTAGATTTCTGCTTATAAAGACACTCTTGTATATTCATCCAACTCTTTGAACATCTTCAGCTTTCTACATATGCAATTGAGCATCATTTATGATTGAATAAACCTTAGATTATCCATAAACCCCGAGATAAAATCTGAGTATGAAGATCCTTTAGGCCATGCTTCACTCTCTTGGTATTTATTCTACACCCTCACCACATTCATGGAATCCTCATGGTCAATTAAGGAATCTAAAAGGCTTACCATTCTCAGGATGATCAAAATGTATCTCAAAAGGAAAAGGATTATGATAAAAAAAGAGGAGGCATGTAAATAGCCTCAACATCACTAAAAAGATGAAGCCTTTGTTTATTTACTAAGCCCTTATCTATTCAGGTAGCAATGTTAAAGATGAGTCACTTTATTGTGGACAAAAGATGAGCTTATCTCAATTGAAGCTCATCTTTAACATTGCTACTTGAATAGGTAAGCCCTTATCTATTCAAGTAGTAATAAGGAAAATAGCTTTGCCCTCATCTTTATTGAAGCTCGTACAGCTTTATCTCCAAATAACACATGTGATTGTCCCACATTGATAAAAGAAGAGTCACTTTATTAGGCTAAGGGATACTCTTCCTGTTGCCATATGGATTTGGGATAAAACCTCATTTGGAATTTATTAAGTGGACTCTTGCTTTTCGTGGTGATAGTTGTGGCTATATTTATGATTAACTATCTTCTTCCATCTTAAGTCCAATTCTTTTTCGTGAGAAATAAGCAAATAACCTCTTAGCCAATGAATTTGATTGATATATCTAGGTTAACTTCTTCCTCAAATTTATAGTTTTCTTTTCCTCTAGAACGTCATACTTCATCTGAGGTGCAAGGATGCCACAGACAGCTTCATATCAACCTACTCTAACATGGTGTTGAGAATTGCATACAATCCTTGCTAGATTGGGAAACCTTTCATCGCACTCGCCAAATTCGATGTTCAACGATATGGGATTTCCCTTTAATTTTCTCCATCACGATCTTTGTTTCTTGATACCACTTGTAAGAACTAAGGAATAATAAGAGAACGAATCTGGCAAACTAGGCAAAGCACTCAAGAGATTATATAATATAATGTTGTAGAATGATGCTCAACTTGTATGGAAAAAAAAACCGTTATCAACAGTATAATCTAAAATTTTACTGAGAAATTAAACCATATCATTAACAATGACAAATAAATCCTTATTTTTACGCTCTTAACTTCCTAACCTAGTCCCTCTAAAGTTTGGAATCTCGATTTTACTAAGATAAATATTAAGATAAAAAAACTTTGCTAAGAAATCTACTTTCCAAGTACTATATGATTTAATACTAGATGCAACGCTTGTAATTGAGGATTTAATTTAACAAATAAATCTCCTATATAATATCCTAATAAGAATGATAACAAACAAAAACTAAGTAGATGAAGTTGTCAAAGTCTCACATGCCCCAAACGATATGAAACTTGCCATATTAACCAATCCTTAAATTCGAGTCATTAGCTTGTGAGAATCTCTGTTGCAAAAGGACTTGTGAATACCAATGTATATGAACTCACAATATTCATTCCAAATCATCCAAGACCTATCCACCATATTGGCGTTACTCTTAACACCTAGGTTTCAACGAACTGTCATTTGTAACATGGGAGACTTCCAAAGGTAGCAAAAAAAGATACTACTTGAATTGTTAAGCTACTCCCGGCTAGTTTTGTTAGTTATTGGCACAAGTAAAATACTAGCCTACGCAACCTTCTGTTCATTACTTTTCCATAGAATTCTTTCTAGCTTAATTGATTCCTAGAAGGACAGTCACTTAAGATCTATGAAGAAAGGGCTTTCCTGCCAACAAGCATTTCACATACCCGGATAGTCAGACCGGGCCACAGGTTCCAGGACATCTCACTGGAAACTGATATGGATGACTTCTATGGGTGTGGCACGCATGACTATCAGGGACGTCTTCATGGATTTGAATATTCAGCTAAATAAGGGGAAAGGGTCAAACATTACTTAGGCAAATCAAGGGCAGCTTCATTGTTTTACTCATGCAGCTGCTTTCTCTCCCTACCCTCTTTTCTGTAGGTGCTATATGCTGACATGTTTGAGAGTTATGACTGTCTAAAGAAAACTCATAATATTTAATTTACTTCTGTAATCATTTACCTTACAATGAGCTATTAGCTACTTCGTACTTACGTTGTTATGTTTGGTTCATTTACTGATTATTTGTCTTATTTATTTAACAAAGTATAGTAATTTGTAACTGCTCTATGCATCAAACAATATAGATAAGATGGACTAATTACTATTTTAATTTTAATTTATAATGACAATTTTTTTAGGAATTATTATGCGTGTGCACTTCCTTAGGTCTTTTTAGATCACAATGTTGAAAATTTTGCACTCTTCACACTCGATTCTTTGACCATATTTTGTGATTTTTGAGTTAGGAAAAACATGATCATGTTCTGTCGTATTAGATTTGTTTCGATATATAGTTTCACATTAACTTTTTATAATTTATGCTAAAGTGTGATTAGATATATAATATATAAAATGTGCATTGGAAATCATGTGTGTGTGTATAATTTTTTATTTTTGAATGTTTGGAATCTAATGGTTAGTTCCATACCCCAAGTCTGACATCCAAACCCAAGTTCGAGCATCGTAGCTCTTATATAATCTTTGTTTTGGACCTTAAATTAAGTTTTTGTGATGTATGTATCGATTTTAATTATCTAATTTTTTTTTGCTAAATGATTGAATGAATGTCACACCCCTTTTTTTTGGAATCTTGGTTTTGCCATTTTCCGTCCTGTATCCATATTGGTGCTACATAGCTTGAGGTCGACATTTTGTTTGGACATGAAATCCCAAATCTTTAATATTAGTTGTATTGGGATTTTTCTCCAATTATTTAAAAATCTGAAAGGCTTATCTTCCATATTTTCCCTAAATATTGAATTTCGTGGGTATCCTCTTAGAATTGAGGTGTATTGAAATTGATGTGGGTATTTAGAGTTGTGTTAGATTATAGATTGTAGGCTATGATGACTAGTGACCAAATGGAATCTAGGAACACTTAAGGCATGGTTATGTAACTCAATTGTGATGTTGTATAAAAGATAAGTCACATTGGGATTGCATTTGTGGACCTTGATTCTTTGAAAGCCACCAACTTAACAAAAAAGTGATTCTAGTATAAAATCCAATCTACTACTAAGAAGAATGCTAAATGGGGAATCATAAGTTGTGAATTTAAATAAATTCTCTAAAATTGTTGGTGATATTTTATTGTGGACAAATCCCTATGACGAATTGATGATTCATGTCTTTGACGAATTGCCGATTCATGTTTACCGGCCGCAAATTATTTTTGGACTAAGGATTTGAAGTTGAAGTGGTGTCTATTTTATTTGTTTTTATTTTTATTTTTGTATGCTTATTGCTGAGAGACATAGACTGGTTATTTCAATGGATGAATTGGTAGTTTTTGTGTGGCTATGAAGATACATGCGTAAAGTAGATGGTTGTTTACTAATAGTGGGTGATTGCGTGTAGAGTAGTGAATGGGCACTAGGATTGGTAACTAAATGTAAATGAATGGTCACTTCTACTACCTTCATTCCCTCCTAGAGCTAGTAGATTGTAGGAAATTTGGCACATTCTTACACTCTCAAATACCTTGGAAGTACCTTTGTTTTGTTTTGACGTGTACTGACATGCAGTTTTATATGGTGGCTCTCCCGTTTGCACCACCCGTTCCACTGGGAATTTTTGGTTGGGGTGGGGTGGGTGGAGGGGCTGGAGTTTTAAGGCTAACAGCAGTCATGATGTCTGAGGAATTTTTGTTCTGATCTCTGATGACTTGTGATGCTCATCTTTTATCTTTTAGCTCACCTGAATCATATTTTTTTCTACAGATTGGACGTTGGAGTAGTCACATCGGTGTTGCATCCTGTTTGAAGTGGGCACCGCGAAGGGTGATGTTTGTGGCAGCTTCGAGTGTTCTTACTTTCTGGATACCTAACCATGGAAAAATCACTGGCGAATCTAACGCCAAGGATGCTGATGCTGCAACTAAACTGGAGTGACAGCATTCTGACAGCATGATCACATTAATATATGCATCAGGCAATCCAGTGCATTACAATAGATATATGCGTGGCCAACATGACTGATATTAACTTAGGAAGAAGACAAGAGTTACTGGTTATGTAGCAATCAGTTTACATTATTTGACCATTTGAAGTTCGACTTAACAGTGCATTTTAGCATGTGAAATTCGACAGTGCCTATATAAAATCATTACCCTTTTTTTTTTTCTTTTTTTTTTTTTTTTTTAATTTCTAAATAATAGCATTATTTGAACGATGTGTTATGAATGAGCCGATACGTTCATGAACTACTCGCGAACAAAACTCGGTCAAAGCTTGGTCAAGACTTGTTTATTAAGTAACAAACAAGCTTGAACAAAAATCTTAAGCTCATCTGATAAAAGAACAAAGCTCGAACAACATTATGTTCGACTCGAAAATGCTCGTGAACAACTCGTTTATGCACATTCATAAGTTTATTCACGCTCGATTATAACTCGGTTAAAGCTTGCTCAAGTTCAAAAATTCACTATTATATTAAAACTACTTTAGTATATTTATATATCTTTTACTTATATTTATTTGTAAAAATTACAAATTATTACATTTTATATAGGCATGAAAACTTTGGGTTACCTTTTTACTATAAAAAGAATGGAAACTTCTCATATAAAATTAAGTAGATGCATTAAAATTTATAAGTTTAACGATATACTCAACTTGTTTATTGAATAAAGCTCGTTCAAGCTTGACCTTAAACTCGAAATACAAACAAGCACGTTCGTGACCAAAGCTCAAACATGCCAAATCCTTAATGAGCCAAGCTCGAACAAGATTTTTGAAAGATCTTTCAAACTCGAAATAGCTCGAACACTAAATTTTCTTATCAAGCTTTGTTCGAACAGACTAAAACTCGGCTTTACTCGGACCGTGTGCAGCCCTATTAACACACGCATATCTCTCACATGTTATATATGTATGTAACTATGTATAGGGTTAGGATCTGGTGAGAAGTATGCTTATTGAATTGTGAGAAGGTAAAAAGTATAGATATATAAAAAATGTACTATAAAATATAGATATATACATTATAGATACATAAAAAAAAAATACATTATAGGTATATGATAGATACTTTAAAAATACATTATAGGCACGTGGCTGTTAATGAGCCGTTAAGCTCGAATATTGATAGGCTCGGCTTGAGCTCCTGAGTTTGGGTTCGAGGTTTGGCTTGAGCTCGTGGCTTGTCGAGCCTTTGAAAATTGAGCTCGGCTTCACCTCGAGTGCTCAATAGTGGAGCTCTGCTCGAGCTCTTTATTGGCTTGAGTTCGAAATCAGGCTTGTTATAAGCTCGATTTTGATATTAGGCTAATTTAGGCCCATAAATACATAATGTATGTCACATATGACATAACCAGTTTTTCATGTTATTTTACACAAATCTTTATTAGACTGACCTGTTGTGGCAGGATTAGTGGCCATAGGTGCAGTGATACACGGTGGTGGGTGGCGTGTTCTGCGGTGGCGACGAGAGGCCCGGTGCCCTATAGTTGCTGATGCGTGGAGGTGGTGTTGAGTTGCGGTGGTGGTTGGGAATTGGGAGATGAGTGGAGGCATGGATCCATGGAGGTGTAGCGATAGGGATGAGGTGGAGGCGTGTAGCAATGGAGATGTAGAGGTGGAGCAAAGGAGATGTCAATGGCATGGAAAGTAGGGTTTAAACTTTGAACAACAAGGCCAATAACTACTGACTAGTGAGTGCTTGAGTTAGCTTAAGGAGTTTAGAAATTAGGAAATTATTGGGTTGGGCCAATGGATGACTTACCCAACTACCCAATTAGTGGGTGGTTGTTGTTATAATTATTAACTTTATTTAAATGTAAAAAAAAAAATATAATATATTTATTAAAAAAAAATAAAGCCGCTTGCGAGCTTTTCGAGCCAAACTTAGCATGACTCTGTATCGTCTTGTTTAATCTCATGCTGAGCCCTGCCAAACCGAGCATTGACCGAGCTGAGCTCGAATAATTTACAAGCAGGCTCGGCTTATTAATAGCCCTAAGTACGTCAAAAATACATTAAAAAGATACATTTAGCTAGAATAAAGCAGACCCTGCTCATTAATAACCCTAAGTACGTCAAAAATACAGTAAAAAGATACATTTAGCTAGGATATCATCAGTAGGAGTCTTGATTTTGCTCTAATCTACATGCGAATGCTTCTCCGCTTCAAAATGTTTCAATTACCAGAGTAAATTTATGAGTTTCATTAAAAAAAAAATGTTGTAACTAATTTATTGAGCTACAAGGTTGATGAATTCTGATTTCTCATTCCATTGCAATTGTTAATCGTGATCATCACAATAATAACAAAAACTTATTCAACATGTATCTTGATTACAAAAACTTGAAGAGATTCAAAATTACACGAAGAGAGAAATCAGATTTAGTTGAGGCCGAAGCCAGAATAACAAAGCTTCTCATTGTTAATGGGCCGTAGAAGTTTATTCTCTTCACCTTATTTTTGTTGAATTAAACTTAATTTTACTGAACTTGCTAAATTAAAATTATATTTACTGAGCTGAAATAAATTTTACTAAACTAAAATTATTTTTACTAATTAAATTTATTTTTCCGATTCTCTATTATTGTTTGGGGGTAAAAATACCCCTAACACATGGACCACTGTTAATGCAACACGTGTCCCAATAGCCTGCTGACACGTGTCAGCCTCAGAGAGGCCCAAAGGGATCCAACCCTCTACTGACACGTGTCACCAAAACCCTAGAAGGGGAACTGATCCCCTTCCCTATAAATAGAGGAGACATCCTCATTTATAAAAGAAGTATTGAATACACATTCAATCCACACAAAAACCGAGCAATATTCATTGCAGAATTCTCTCTGAATCAGAGAGAAGTATTTACATTCCGCAATATACTCCTCATACACGTTCTAACTTGATCGTCAGAGGCGGAACTCCCACCCTTGGGAGTCTCCGTTGTTTTGTAGGTACAGGCAGCCGGAGGTCAGTCTCGGTGTTGTAACTCTCTCGCAGGACACATAAAAATACCCCGAAACAATTATATTTAATCATTAAAGTTAATGATTTTAATTGAACTAAAATTATTTTTTTTACTAAACTGAAATTATTTTTTTTACAAAATTTAACTTATTTTTACTAAATTAAAATTATTTTTATTGAATACTACTTCATCGATTTCTTTTTGCTTCGCTTGACCTATAGTCACATGACACACAATTTAACGAAGAAATAAAAAAAGATAAACTATTTTTTTTGATACAAAAAATTAGGGAGTCACATTTGACTTTTTTTTTTCACTATTTGTTTCGGGGTTCTTTGATGTCCTCCGGGAGAGTTACAATTCCAAGACCGACCTCTGGACGCCTGTACCTGCAAAACAACGGAGACTCCGATGATCAAGTTAGAATGTGTTTGAGGAGTAAAGTGCGGAAAGTAAAGGGTCTCTCTTGGATTCCAAGAGAGTATCTGCAATGTGTAATTGCTCATTTCGAGGTGTCAGGTGTCTGACTTTCTCTAATTGTGAGTTAATGTGTATGTGAATTAATTGTGTTCCCGAGGGGAAACATCTCCCTTTTATAGGGTGTTGGAAAACGTTCCTAGTACTAGGTTTTAGTTAACCTAGGACTGACTGGGCTTTGCCTAGGAATTTGGGCCGTTAGAGGCCAATTTCCGGGTTTGCTACATGTCTACCACGTGTCGTGACCCGATTGATCCACCTTGGACCTCTTGCGAGGTGACATGTGGCGGACTCTGGTTGGTCCACGTGGATGACACGTGGCAGAGCTTTAGTGGTCCACGTGGCGGGGAAAAATCCCCTAATCATTTGCCCCTCACAGGGGTGACGTGGCTTGCCACGTGGCGCCTGCGACAGATGTCACGCTCTGATTAGCTAACGGTTTTTTACTGTTTTTTTTCTACGGTCTCTTGGAATTCACCCCCCTATAGGGACTCTGAGCCAAGCACTTCAAGCAAATATTCGGATGGGTATGAAGAGAGGCACTCTCGGTTAGAGATTGCGCGAGAGTCCCTCTCTGTAGACTTGAGAGAAAACTAGGCAGACCCGTCCGCCACCAACCGAGAGCAATATGCCGCATACTATCATCATGTTCCTACAGGCAGGCGGAAAATGATGGCGGAAAAAATTGGGAGCTTCAGAGCTGACCATGTCATGGGGCATGGGTATGTCCTTTGCACGCCGGATGCCGAGGACACTGTAGTCTAGCCCGAGCAGTCCAGCTACGGGGACGCTTGTTTTGGCTGTGATGAGGCAGCAATTAAAGCTGGCCTGAGATTTCCACTACACCCGGCTGTAGAGAATATTTTGGACGGATACCAGCTAGGTGTCTGGCAACTAGCCCTAAAATCTTGGTTCAACATCTTGGGCTATATTGCCGGCTGTGAAATGCATGAGGTAGAGCCAAGCTTTGAGGCATTCGCTCATATGCACTACCTCAGCCGGACCCCGAAGAGAAGCGGGACCGGTTGGTATCAGCTGTCTAGCCACAAGGGCTTATATGATGACTGTGGGGAAGGAGAACAAGTGGAAAGATTGGAGGAACACTTTCTACATCGTCTCCAGCCCTGACCCAGTCAAGAACAAAAAATTTAACAGGTGGAACAGGAACCCACCTTTCCTAACAGGCGGCTCTGAGCTGCCGCCTATTCCTTTTAAAGCAAAAGAGGAGATCCTTGACAGAGGGCTCTTCAAAGTAGACATCTAGGCAAACCCCGAGACTGGGGCGAGGGAGTTCATTCCTCAAAACTATATTCCCAAGTATAACTGGTTATACGATGGGACATATCTGGCCGTATGTAGCCTTAGTGAAGAGATGCCGAGAGGTAGCTGATCGCCTATTCAGGTGTCTTGTGAAAGTTGATTTATTTTGTGTCAAACTAACTCCTTGATTCATCTTTTGCAGACAAAGCCATGGAAAAGCTCTCGGCCTCAACGAAAGCTGCTGCCCAGTACCGCTCGTCCATCTTGGGCAAGCGGCCAACTAAAGAATCGCCTGTTGTGCAGGCGTCAAAGGTGAACTTTGAACTGAACAGATTTCATTTAGCTTTTCTGTCGCCTGCTTCTTACTTATTGTGGTTATTTTGTAGGGCAACTGACAGGTTCTAGTCGTATCACCTAATCAAAAGAAATTCCTAAGTCCTCTAACTAAAGCAGATAGGGAAGT